AAAAGCCAACATCTTAAACTGTCATATTGACGTCCAATACTGATATTTATTCGTCACGTATGGCAACCAAAATCCAATAGCTGATAGACGTCATAGTGGTAATGTCCACACATTTTCAAGTTCTAACATCATTAGATGTTGAAATTTGGTTCATTTTAGGTTGGATGTTGGACATTGACATCAGCCTGATGTTGGGTTTTCATGTCAACCTGATTTTCATTACCAAACAAAATGCAACATCCCGCGACGTTGGGGTACAACGTCAATCTGACGTCATGTTGACATCTTGTTCCTGTTGGGTTTGTTCATTCTCCTGATTGTTTGGTTGATATTTCTCTAAAATAATTTGTTTGCTCTTTGCTCATTTTGTTTGTAGCATTTTAAGGAAGTTTTAAGTGAAGCACTGTTTTAGGCTATTCAGTTTATACTGACCATAGGCCTACTTAGTTTTATACCAGTACTTAGTATAGAATATTCAGCATTAGTCTAGTACAGTTTTTAGTATGTTCCAACTATTCATTTTCTTAATTGTAATTTTAAAAATAATATCAGCATTCAGGAGTGATGACATGTTATGTTTTTTGTTTCTTGAGTAGTTGCATATAATGTAAGGACGTTTAGGTGTTGAAAACAAAACAAAAATACTACGGGTTAAAAAATATTTTTTATTTTGCATTTCATTTCATTCACTACATTGAACATGTACACATAGACATCACCTTTTTTGGAAGGACATTATAGACAACTGCTGCTCAACTATATTTATATATAATGTCTTCCCTTAACGCAACTGTTTACCTTTTCTGTTGCATCCGCTGCCTAAAAACATATGCTGGAGAAGTTGGTGGTTCATTCCTCTGTGGCGACCCCAGATTAATAAAGGAACTAAGCCAAAAAGAAAATGAATGAATAAATAATGTTTATGTATTTATTAGTTGTTTAGTTTTTTATACCATAATTTGATTTAGATTTCTATTATTATGTTATCTGTTAATGTACTTTCTGTGACTGATGTCATACTTATATGTCTAATTAGAAATTAATCAAATCAGTCAATCCTAAAGCAATCACATATTTGGGGTTGTTGTGGCTCATTTTATGTGTGCACTTAATTACATAATTTATTTTTACATTTTAATTCATATTAATTACCGTCTATTTGATATAGTAAAATAGCAGTAATCTTAAACATATTACAAATGAGCATTCGACCGAAGCTTCTGCTGATACACTATACTATTTGTAATGTAAAGTATCATATAGTATTCAACTGTTTAACATATCAGATTACAGGACACCCTAATACAGCATCTTACAGCATCTCTAACAGCAATATAGCTCACATATATTGTGAATAAGAGGTGCAGACGATAACAAAATGTGTGAATTCAGTAATGCTTTGCCAGCAGTTGCAGGATCAGATGATGTGAATCCTCAATATCTCCCATCCCCCGTTTGCCTGAATCTCCACCCCCTGTCACACCACAAGAAGACAGATCAGTCAGATTTCAGCTGCTCACTGTTCATGTTTAATGCAGCTGAGACCTTTATCTGGCTCAGTCGCAGCAGGTCCCGGAGCAGGGATATCGTCGTGTGCTGACACCACCTGCTGGCCAATCCCTCACAGCCCCTCCTCTGATCCACCAGCCAATCGCTGTGCGCTTTCGGCATCACCTGCTTTCTGTGTCAGATCCACTGCCAGATCTGACACCCAATGCACAGGCCTGCGGTCTGCAGCCGGACACTGGCCCGAGTGACCCAGTTTCCTGCAGCTGGCCATCATCGGCATTACGCCAGCCGGTTTTGATAGGAAAAGCTGCGAGACAGCGTAAACAAGGCCTTGGTTTGAGGCAATACAGTGGGTTTTGAAATGACATAGTCTATCTGAAGAAATTACAGTTAAAGTCAGAATTGTTATCCCGTTGTATATGTTTGTTCCCATTTTCTGTCCTTAAATAGTGTAAATTAGAAGAAATAGAAGAATAAATAAAATAAATTTTAATTGTGGCCTAATCATGGTGGTAGAACAGTTTTCTACTAAATAACAAATGCACTTCAACCAAAAGTGCTTTATTTTGTCAAAAAAAAAGAAGAAAGAACAGTAATTATTTAGTATAAATAAAGACTACAACTCAAATTTTTGTAGGTTATATAGGGCAAAATATTGTAAAAAGTGTGTGACCCCTTGCTTTGAATCATTTTAGCATATCTACAGCCACATGACATCACATTTCTCACAACTCTACTATCCTTAGGCCTGATTTAGTTGATTTTTCCAGAGTTTTTCAATCAGGTTTCGTTCAGGACTCTTGCCTGTCATTTCATGATTTTAGTGTTTTCAGTTTTAATGAACCCTTGACTGTGTGAACCATCCTGCATGAAAATCGTTGGCTGATGAACATTTGTGCTCACTCTGCCATGTAATAATCTTCCCCAACAGACCCTGTTACGTCTTTTTGACGTTATACAGTTAAGGGACTGTTGTTTTGGTTTTGCTGTTTTTTAGTATACACGGGTTGGCTATGTTGGATGTCAGCCACTCAGAAAACAGACTGACGTGCGATGATGTAATTGAGCTCCAATCATTGCGCTGCAGGAAGGTTGCACACTATATAAGGAAAACACGGCATCAGTTTGGGATTTCAGCCAGCATTTCGTGTGAACCTGAGCTTTGTTTGGCATTTGTTGTCTGTGTGTGTGTGTGTTTCTTCCCCTTTTGCCTTGATTTACCGATGTTTGATTAACTTTTGTTTGCCATGTTATACTAAAACGTTTTTGTTTCAAACTCTTTTAAGAACTGGAGTGTAAACATCCTATCTGGGTATTATTCTAGATGGAGGAGAGGGAATAGGTAAGCTCTGTCACGTGATGTACAGTACATGGCGCACATTCTTTTAGTTATACACACTTGGTTACGAATTTGTGCCACACTTGTAAGTTTTGCTTTGTAAAGAGAGAGCAGGTAAGATACGACGTCTAGGACGTTGAAAGTTTACTTTTTGTTTTATATTGTAGTTCTAGGAGAAGAGTTAAATGGGTTTGTTAGTTGATTTTTGTTTTATTCTTTTCTTTTGTTTGGCACAGTCCCATTCCCTTTGTCCTACTTATGTATGTTTAACTTGGTTAATTTTTTTTTCAAGAGTTCACACTTGGATATTGCTTGATAAGAATAGCAGGTTTGGCATACTGTCTAGGGAGAGAACCCTGAGCTCGAACAAAATTCAGACCTTGAGACCTCCTGTCTGGTCAATGAGCATGTGAGGAGGTACAAGATAAGGAAGTGCTTGAGAGCTCTCCCTGGTAAAGGAGAAAAGGGGGAAATGGTGTGGAAGAGGGGGATTCTTTAAAAAACGAAGGTGAGGGAGTAATGCTAGTTGAACTATTTAGCTGCGGTCACACTGGACTTTTCTCCCCATAGACTTTCATTCATACGCACGCTAATGCGTCGGACCGGAAATGCAAGCTTGTGCAAAAAAGTTTTACAGTTTGCTGTGTTGCAAAGTTCAAGCTTGGTAAACTCTGACCTGCAAAATCGCATCACTTGATTGTGTGAGACCAATTGAGGATCAAAACATGACCTCACTGGACCAATTGCTAGCTTTTTTTAAATGTCTAATCATCATGTTTAATCCTGCCCCTTTTCACAGCGCCCTAAGAATTTGGCAAGCTCAAACTCGAGTGTGATCGCAGCTTTAATAGTGAGTTTGGAATGATCTGATGGGCTTACTAATGATTACAGATGAGAGACCAGCTGTGATCAATCATTTCACGTGCGCCTCTCAAAATTAGTTTGTAAAACTTGACTTAAATTTGCTCTATAAAGTGAGATTTGGTCCAGTTCACAACATGCTTCTCAGAAAAGGTTAGTCTAGTCTTTTAATTCTTTGTTCTGATGGTCTCTGCAGGGTTTTCAGTTCAAATTCTCTTAAACATTGAGACTTTGCATGCCAAGAGACAGATCTATACCCTTTTGTGCATTTGTCTTTCATGAATAACTACTAAAAAGTCACTATAGATCAAAACATGCATAAGTAATCCTGTAAACTGTCCTTCCTTGCTCTTCTTTTGCTCTTTGTACAGCAGTATGATTGGAAAAACATGTATATGGCCACTTTAGGGGTTGTTTACAAAAGATGCAGGTGTGTAAAAACACATTAATTGTTAATAAGGATGTGCATTTTATTTTGTATTTTTTGTTGTTGTTGATCAAATTATTGAAAAAGGTAAACAAATTTTGGAGTCATCTTTGTATTGACCTCAATATGTTGTCAGGATATTTTCATAGTACAAACATTTCAAACACTGACAGTAATAATTAATGCTTCTTAAACAGCAACTTAGTATTTTAGAGTAATTTCTTAAGTATCATGATGAGATACTGACTAATTGAACAATTCAGATTTATCATCAAAAGAATAAGTCAAACTTTTTACTGTATTTCAGATTTTTTTCCCTCTTTCTCATAGTTAAAAAACTTAACTAGACTGAAGTTTAAACTCTGTTACCTGCGACCTGGAAGTATTTTACCATCATTACTCAAGACTTGATTTTCGTGAGCTTAGCTGCGAGACAGCATCATTATGAGGCTTCCCGGAGCCCCTGCAGTCAACTTTATGAATATGGATTACTGTTCAGGGCAGATTAGTGAACACAGCAAAGTATTTATCAACTTCAGCACTGTGATATCAGGGAAAAATGGGAATTATGCCTGCTTTTTGGTGTAATCCTCTGTGGAATCATGAACTAGACTTCAGGATACTTCAAATGAGTGTTAGAAACTGTCATACATACCACTGCATGATCTTCCACTACTAAAAACAAGGCTGGAGAAGATCATTGGTATTATTTCATGTACTTTGTTTTGCATACACATTTATTTCTGATCTGTTTCAGTTTATATTTTAATCAAAAACAAGTGAAATGGTTACCACTGATTTTGAAATGTTTTGATTGATTGATGGATGGATTGATGGATTGATTTATTGATTCATTTCCCACAGGATAGCTTCCCAGCCAGGTTTGGAGGGATTCATTTTGTCAACCAACCTTGGTACATCCACGCTTTGTACACAGTCATCCGACCTTTTCTCAAGGACAAAACAAGAAAAAGGGTGAGACATTTTTAACATTTTAATCACGATTTTCTTTGATCACTGGTATAACACCATGCTTTTAATATGTCTTTTATTAAATATAAATGCTAGCTTTTATATAAAATCTAACAAAAAATCCTCAGAATTTTTACATTTAATTTCCAGCACAAATATGTATATTAAACATCCTTTAATCAACACATTTTCTTGAAATGCAAAATGACTTTGGGGGCTATCACACCGCACTGCCTGTTTTTGTTGGCAGGAAAAAAAAAGTGCAATCACTGATCTATATACGTAGACCTAGTCCTGCGATTCCTGTCCATTCAAATTGCACATAAAAAGTAAATAGCATCATACTGAACAACCTCAAGACATGGGAACTTTATAAACACAACAAACCATATGGAAGCATTAAAATATCCGAAAATAAAATAAAAGATGTCCAAAATCTTTACAATGATCCAGAGACTGTTTGTACACTGATGAGAAAATGATGAACTAATAAGGAAGGAAGGATTTAAGGAAGGACTGAACAAACTAAAGAAGAAAGGATCGAATGAATGAATGAATGAACAAAGGATCTAATGAAGGAAAAAACTACATCTGAATGAACAAACTAATGAATGAGTGAACTAATAAAGGAAGGAATGAAGGAAGGACTAAATGAAGGAAGAATTCAAAGAAGGACTGAACAAACTAAGAAGAAATAAAGAATGAACAATTTAATGAATGAATGAACAAAGGATCTAATGAAGGAAAAACAAAATCTGTATGAACAAACTAATAAATGAGTGAACTAATAAAGGAGGGAATGAAGGAAGGACTAAATGAATGAAGGAAGAATTCAAAGAAGGACTGATCAAACTAAAGAAGAAAGGATCAAATGAACTAATTAATGAATGAATGAACAAAGAATCTAATGAAGGAAGAAAAACAATTGAATGAACAAACTATTGAATAAGTGAACAAATAAAAGGAGGAATGAAGGAATGACCAAATGAATGAAGGAAGGATTCAAGGAAAGACGGACCTAACTAAAAAAGGAAGAAATGAAAGAATGAAGGACCTAGAAGTAACAAAAATATCAACGAACGAATGAAGGGAAGAACGAAGGAAGGGACGAATGAAGGACATAACAAACAAACAATGGAAGGACGATTGGAAGGAACGAACGAATATAAAAAGATCACTAAATGAACCACAGAATGTTACGTTTACAAATCCCTGCACAAACTGCATGTAAACGCATCAATGAATGAACATGCAAACTCCACACAGAAACACCTACTGAGCCGAGGCTTGAATCAGCGACCTTCTTGCTGTGAGGCTACAGCACTACCTACTGCGCCACTGCTTTGCCACTTTTTTACTCATATTATGTATAATATTTACAACAGATATTTTAACTCTACTTGCATTTTCGGGCAATTATTGTTACTTTTACTTGAGTATGATTTTTCAGTACTCTTTTTTTTTTACCATTGTTGTGCTTTCTGTTTGATTTGGGTAACATCAAATTCTCCAAAACTGTTTGTCAAGCTTGCTATTATTTCTAACATTTTACTTCTAAAAGTTCAAATCACACAAACTCTGCAGAAACTCACTTCTGGTACGAGCCCCTCCTCTGGAGAATCGTTAGTCTATAGCAGTAGCTGATTGGCTCCTGTACTAAGGCGGGGCTTCATTCACCATATGACCATTATTACACTTTTTTCCCATTCAAAACTATACAAGTGATATGTCTTGTGTGTTCTATAGTCTTTAACACCACACTGCCTTTTGTTGTTGACAAGAAAAATAAAGTGTGCTGCGCTTTTTATGTTGTGATATTCAGGATTTGTAAAGTCATATAGCTCCAGATAACTTCAGACACCGATTACAATTCTCTCCTTCATCTTTAAAAGTCTCTGTAGTCGTCTTGACAACACAAACACTGCTATCATCATAATGAAAACCCCGCCTCTTCTTTCATTTGATTGGACAATGAATACGATGCAAGTGATGAGCATTTTTGCTCAGAGTGTATTTTTTTCAACTGCAGGCACACATTGTGCAAAGGCAAAGTCATTCAAAAAGTGCTTTTGGTGTGTATAAATTAAGCTTCTTTTGATGAATGTAGCATAGTCAAGTGATTAATAGCTTAAAACAAAACAAAAAAAGATTATTGCTTTAAATATATCTTGCAACATGGCAAGAAAATTAATTTAGAATGAAAATAAAAAAATTTTACACCACTGACATGTTTTTTTTTGTGTTGTGAGCATAAAGCCATTTAATTCTGGTGTATTTTTATGAAGAAAACAATACATGTATTGTCTTTAGTGTCTTGATTTTCGAGGGGAATGTATGGGAAAGTATGGGAAAGCAAGACTAAAATACTTTTTTTATTTTGCATTTAATTTACATACGTATTAGCGGTCTGTAAATCTGTCAAAAAATAGCACATCTCAATATTACAGTATAATGTCCACCCTAAACACAACTCCACAATTTGGATTGTAATGCAATAATGTGCACTTTTGGTGAAGGTGCTTTAAAGCTTTTGAAGCTGCATTTCAATATAAAAAAAAAATCTCCAAAAATAAAGCAGCAGTTGTCTGTCGTAAAAATTGATTCAATAAATCCTTTATTCAGTACTTACAATATTATCATCGATGTTAAGTATTACACACACACACACACATTGCCTATTAATCTAAAAGCTGGCTGCTTAGTATAAAAAAAAATAACCATGTGTTTCATGTTGTGCGATTAGATTTTCATGCATGGAAACAATCTGAACAGCTTGCACCAGCTGATCTTGCCTGAGATTCTGCCGTCTGAACTGGGTGGCATGTTGCCTCCGTACGACATGGGCACATGGGCCAGAACGCTGCTTGACCACGCATACGACGAGGAGACGGACTACTGCCCCGAATCCTACACCCTTTCTGTTAAAGACCTGGAGAAAGACCTGTCGCCCAAAACCATGAAGAGGTTTGTCACTTTTCAGTATATGATTTAGCACTTTACCACGGCTGAGTTTAACGTATTTGTTTTATTTTTGCATTTTATTTTACACTTAAGGGGGAGGCTTTATTTGTATAATTTTTACACTTTCATTTTTAATTTTCATTTAAAATTAAATTTTATTTCTTGAAATGTAAATAAATTTTTTCATGTTTTATTTGTGTTTTAGTACATTTTAATGATCGTAAACTTTATTTATCAGCATTAAATAATAAAAATAGGTTACTGCAGTTTTTTTCTCAGAATTGCATTGCATAAGCTTTCTTATAATTGTGGGAAGGAAATCACAAGCTTTAAAGATATAGGGCCCTATCATACATCCAGCTCAGTAAGGCTCAAGACATGTATGGTGGGATTTGTTGCTATTTCCAGACCAGCGCAACAGTAATTTTGCGTTTTGCACCACGTCATTTAAATAGCAAATTCATTTGGGCCCCTTTGTGGACTTATGGGTGTGCTGGTGTTAATATGAGGAGTGTTAAGGCACATTGTTGACGCTTTGCTATTTTGAGTAACTGAAATAGACCACGCCATTGACCAACTGAAAGCAGGTATAAAGTCCAGCGCAGAGCGCGTTAGTTATGGGCTTATGCAAGTCCACCACTTACACATTGCTTAATACAAACAGTATGTACTGCAATACACAAATATTTTTACAGATGACAAAAAATTAAATGATTAAAATGTTACAAAAATGATTATTTTCTACATAAATATAAAACTTATTTCAGTTTATTCATGACAATTTGCATTTGTACAAGGTTATTATTATAAGCAGAATTATTTATTATATGCATATTTATATTGTGTTTTGGAGAAGTCAACATTACCATATGGGGCTAAAGAATAAAACCTTTGTTTGGTTATAGTTTTTTGACCACACTTCTTTATTATTGTTTATTTATTAATTTGCTGGAAATTAGAACTAAATTTAGAAATTGAAACAAATCTTTGCGCTTAACTAACTAAATTAAATATGTTGGCAAATGGATGTCTTCGGCAGATTGTGTCCAACACCGTTTCCTTCTCCTTGAAAGTAAAGAGTAAAGTAAAGAGAAAGAGAAAGTAAAGAGGCTGAATGGAGGAGGCTTATTCTTTATCCTCGTGCTGCAGATTGTCTGTTTAACTGTTTTCTCGCTTGTGAAGCATTCAGTTTTTCCACTTACAAAGTCGCCATGTAAATAGCAAAGATGCAACTGAACCTTAAAGGGAATGGGAAATGACACTCTGATTGGTTTAATGCACAAAACACCCATAACTCATTAGAAGAATAAGCACAACCCCGTTGGACCATGCGCCAGGGCGCAAAACTTATTTTTCCTTCCTTAAAATTGCAAAAAAAGAAGATTCAGACCTTTTGCACCATGCACTCTAGACTTTGTGCCTAGATCGTTATAAACTTTCTTACAATTACGAGAAAAAAAGTCAGAATTCTGACATAAAAAGTCTCTAGTGTGAGTTATAATATCAGAATTTACTTTATATATCTTGCAATTCTTAGAAATAAAGTTGCAACTGTAGGGGGAAAAGTTGGAATTTTGAGATAAAATGTGTCAGTTGGAGTTATAAAATCAGAATTCTGGCAAAAAACAATTATTTATTTATTTATCACAAAGATTAGAACATTTTTCTGATTTAAACTTGTCCTTTCTATCTTCCCATAGCACATTTTTTTAGTGAATATAACAATGTCTGAATGAAAATGTTCATTTTTAACTGTTAAGTGCAACAATTTCAAAAATATTTATTGCTTATTTAAACTTATTAATAGTACTTCATTTAATTGAGTGTATTTTTATTTTAGTGCAAATTAGATTTTTTTATAGTTATAGTTAGTTTTTAAATGATAGCTTTTATTATTTTCATGTTTCTACGTCTTTTTATTTAATAGCTCACAACTTTTACATTTTTGTTTTTCAACTATTCAACCATTTACTTTTATTCCAGCATTATTTATTCATTTAAAAACATACATTTAATTAAACTACATTTCATTTTATTGAATACAAGTTTTCTTTGAAGCAAGCATGTGAGGTCATCATCCTGCTCATATTATGCTTGCTGTTTATTTCTGTTGTGCTTGTTAAGTAACATCATTTGGTGGCTTGCCATGGAAACAGCGCTTGCAGGCTTCATTCAAGTGGAATCATCAAGAGAATCGCTCTGGATAACAAAAATAAGCATCTATGCTAGAGGCGTAAAAAAGCCACAGTGTTTGTTGAAGGAGTCACAGTTAAGCAGAATACTGTCTGCTCTTTCTCGCTTGCAGTGCCTAGCAACTGACTCACCAGCTTTATCATTAAACACAGCACTTATTAATAAAATCAGTTTTATTCAGTCCATTCCTGCATGACTAGAGAGGATTGCATGGTTTGACTGATTTATGTAAGGTCATTCACCTAAGTATAAAGGGGTGTTTTAGCAGTGAATCCATAGAAAAAAAAGGTTTACAGATTTATTTATTTTTAACAGTTCTTCAAAGCACCTACACTACCTGACAAAGGTCTTGTCGTCGATCCCAGTTGTAAGAGCAAACAATAATAACTTGACTTCCATCAGAAGGTAGATTTTTTTTTAGATGAGTCATCTGTTAAACTGCATCCCAATCATCACAAATACTCCATAAGACCTATTGGAACCTGCAAGACTCAAGATTCTTAAATCAGTCAAGTTTGGGGAAGGAAAAATCATGGTTTGGGGTTACATTCAGTATGGGGGCATGCGATAGATTTCTAGATAGGATGCCAACATCAACAGCCTGAGGTATCAAGACATTTGTGCTGCCAATTACACTACAAACCACAGGAGAGGGCAAATTTTTCAGGAGAATATTGCTCCTTCTCATACATTAGCCTCCACATCAAAGTTCCTGAAAGCAAAGAAGCTTAAGGTGCTCCAGGATTGGCCAGCCCAGTCATCTGACATGGACATTATTGAGCATGTCTGGGGTAAGATGGAGGAGGCATTGAAGATAAATCCAAAGAGTCTTGAACTCTTGAAGTCCTGCAAGAGCGCTTTCTTTGCCATTGCAGATGACTTTATTAATAAGTTATTTGAATCATTGCAGAGATGTATGGATGCAGTCGTCCAAGCTCATGAAAGTCATACACAGTATTAATGAATTTTCCACTGCACTATGACTTTATATTCTATACTGTACATTATTTCTGTGAATGTGACAAGACTTAATAATTTAAAACAAGTCATGATCATATTTTATTTTGGCCTTTTTCTTTCATATAAGCCACTTCTGATACTAAATAAGCAACTTGAAGTAAAGTTATTATTTGATGATCCTAAACCTTGGATAGGCGACAAGACATTTGTTAGGTAGTGTATTGTAATAGTGCGAAGACCATTTTATTAATCTAAAGAACATGTTTCTACTACAAAGATCATTTGTGGAATGAAAAGTTTCTTTAGATGTTCTTTGGAAGGTTTTTCATGGAACCATCAACGCCAATAAAGAACCTTTATATTTAAGGTAAAACAATTATTTTCAACTCTTGTGCAGGTCATTGAAATTGATAATTCATCCAAACTAATCAGAAAATTCTGTCATTATTTACACACTCTTTACTTCTTTCAAACATGTTAAACTTACTTTCTACAGTGAAACTCAAAAGAAGAGATTTTAAAGAAAGCTGGATACCTGTAGCCATTGACTTACACCAGGGGTGTCCAAACTCGGCCCTGGAGGGCCAGTGTCCTAGAGAGTTTAGCTCCAACCCTAATCAAACACACTGGAAGCAACTAATCAAGCTCTTACTAGACATACTATACATTTTCTGGCAGGTGGGTTGAAGCAAGTTGGAACTAAACTCAGCAGGATACCAGCCCTCCAGGAGCAAGTTTGGACATCCCTGACTTACACTATTGGTTTTTCCTTTATAGAAGTCAGTAGTTACAGGTTAACTTATAAAGCTTTGCAACCACTTGAAGGTAAATTAATAATGAGTAAATGTTCATTTTTGGGTGAACTATCCCTTTAAAGATTGTGAGTCACTGGCCACTGTTTTGATTATCTGACGTCATTGAATAGAAACACTGTTGATAATCAACATTATCCATTTAAAACGGTCATTCACAGTCAAATCATTATGAAATGATTAACTTTCGCATTGGATAATCTGTTATATTATCCTTTTGAATCTAGACCTCAAGTCTCATTCGCTTCTATCGATTTTTAGAAGTTAAAAACCGCCTGTTACGCTGCTTGATGTCGCAAACTGATATTTTCTTATTATATTATTCTACTATTTTTTGTATAGTCATGAACACACTTGCTTGTAGAGCAAGTAGTTTGAATGTTTTCTGATATTTATTATTCCTAGTCATTTCTCCCACTGGCAACTGAATTGGAATTCTAAAACAATTGCAAAAACTTCTGCAGAATCAGGTAAAAAAGAAAAAACTGTAAATCGATTGTTCGTGATGTCATTAGCATGGCCACACAGGACACAATCTGTGTTATTAGTTAAAATAGCTTATTTTTCTGGATTTTACAGGTCTTTGAAATATTTGACAACATGTAAGCACATAAGTGAGCAAAATATAGAACAATGAAACATTTTTATATATTATGCTTTTAATCATTCACCGGGCAAAGAACCATTCATTGTCATTAATTACAATATATATGTACATATTTGAATAAAAGTCTTGTGCTAAACCCAAGTAACACTCTTTTTAACACTGTTTTCAGTGAGTTGCCTATACAGGGTTAGGTCATAAGTAAGCCAACACGGAATCTGCGCGTGCAAAATTCTGCAGATTTTTCTCAGATTTTCCACAGAATTCCACAGATTTCTGCAGATTTTTAGCCCATCATTAATTATGTTTATTTACTTTTGTAAATGTGTGTAAATCTAAATTTATTCAGTTTTTTAAATTAATTACAGTAATATTATTGACTAATATGAAAATGTTCATCTGATTTATGTACAACACAGTTTTTAAAGTAATAT